ACACGGTTGGATGAAGGTCTTATTTGAAGTCTTTCCTCCACCAGTGATTACTGCTGCTGTAATTAAAAGTCAGTGCAGTGTAACAGTGAGGGAACGTGGTCTGCTCTGAAGCCTGTGCACATCATAGACATGTGTTCCACAGGTTTTGGGGTGTTAAAGGAATGAAAGAGGAAGTTGACAAACCAAGGTTGAAACCCGTCGTCTTCCTTAAATGACTAACTCTTCAGACAAACTTTTCGGGGTCTGCTCTGCTCTTTCTCTCTCAGTGTTTCTCGTTTTTTGCTGCCACGCTCACAGCAGCGGCCCTGCACATTATCTGAAGCCAGGGAAGGATTGGGTCATATTTTCCATCCACGCTCAGAGTCTGACTGGATGTCTGCTGCGCTGGTGGTGGAGTGGAGGGATGGGAGAAAACAGAGCGAGCAGGCCAGAGAAAGAGAAACAGAAAGAGGGAGGGACGTGGAGCTGAGGTCTGGAGGATGGGGGCTGGGATCATGGAGATATCCAGATGCGGAGACAAGAGGAAAAGCAGGCCTTTCCTCACATGTTGGTCTCTGAGAGCAGGGAGAGAACAGCCCCCGTCAAAACCAAGAAGCTCTGCTGTCATGTCAGTATAAAGGACAGCGCACGGCTCTGCAGCATCAACACAGAACCTTAAACTGTTTCTGGATGTTTATCATAATAGAGGACGTTGCATTTGATGTTGGGGATCTCACGGTCCGAAAAGGTGGTGATTTGTCACGGTGGGTGGAGTCTGGGGTGGGGGTGGTGTGGGTTGGGGTATTATATGAGTCAGCATGGCTCTTTAGTCAATGCATAGAAGAGTTTGCTGCCACAACTTCCACACTAATGAAGGCCTTAGATTGCTGTACTAACATGTATTAATGAGGTGGGTCCAAAGTCCAGCTCGGGGACCAGTTACAGCACTTGGAGACCTTCATACGTTTATGGCGTTTAAATTAATTGTATTTTGACATTCCTAATGTAATAAGCAAATTAAAAACAAAACAACAACAACAACATCTGGGCCTGCAGCAATTAGTAGACTTTGTTTATCTTCAATAGCAAACTGAGGATAAAAATAGACTCAATTTACTGACACGTTTACTCTATCTCCATCTGTCCATTGTCTTCACAGTAACTAACCACTGCAGCAGTGAGACTGAAGCAGATCCAGCCTGAAGACTAAAAAGTCAAAAGTCAGACCTTTATGAGAGGAGTGCAGTTCACACAATGCTCCACTGGAAGTTACAGTTAGAAGTCATTTACCCTGTAATTGAGCATGTACCCATAATGCTTTGTGGATATCCTTTTTGTACTTTTGCCCAACTAAATTAACTTTCACAGTCTAAGCCAGAGCTGCAAGATTTATTTTCAGACAACTGACAAACTGTGACACACTAGTTACATTTGCTTAACAGTGGAAGTCCACAGCAAACTCCTATTCCCAAACTGTGATAAAGAATATTAGTAGGAGGCAGCAGGCAGCTACACGTACAGTATATGAAGGAACTGGACATGCTCCACCTTTTGTTGGAATTTTAAAGAAACAAACTGTTTGCTTCTATTTTAAATTCCATGCATCGTTTTGCACAAAGACTGTCTCCATAGACACAGAGTACTTGGGCTTGACTGGCCTGCCTGCAGTCCAGATCTGTCACAGTTTTCAAAAGGTGTAGTTAAAGAGAAAAGCATGGGAAACAGGCCCAATTCATTTGGACTCAGCTATCAACAACAACAAAAAAATTATATATATATATATATATATATGTATATATATATATATAAAATTCACATTTAAATGTATTTGTTTTTAAAAAAAAAGGTGCCTGAAATGATTGATTTTATAAATATGTACCAAAGAGGTTTATATGATTAAAAAGACTTTCATTCATATTTAGTAAAAACAGCCATTTTCACTTTAAAGATACACTGTACACTGACTGATTTGGTCTGAATTGCTGTACAATTTTCCCCACCGTACCCTGTAATCTGTCTGCAGGCAGGTGGGTCTCCAGTGTACTCCCACCTAAACAGAGCACCAAGCAAAACCAGTCATTGAGAACATTTAACAAACATCACAAAGGACGGGATGGAGAGTTAAACAGCAGGTAATGGAGGCCTTATCGTAAAAATATGGAGTGGGACAGACAGTGAAACGTTATAGTTAGGAAGACAGTGAAGTTACATGGTCAATGAAGTTACATGAATAGGGTGGAGAAAAAAGTAGGGAAAATAAAGGAGAGAGAGAGAGAGAGAGAGAGAGAGACGACTTGGAAGCAGAAGAAGCTCAGAGTCGTACAAGTAGAAACACGTGGACAGAATCAGGCAGATGCTACGTGTTGCTGGCTGTAGCTGAGAGGCTCGCTGGGGAATGTACCATTTAGACCTCTGCAGTTAGTCTGCAGGGTCTGGTGATGTGGATTCTCCTGTCCAAATGCCCATTAATGTGAAGGCTGACAGGCTTTACTCTCATATGGACCAAGACAGCGTGGGGACAAGTCTAAAACACTGAGCTATCATCCTCACACTCAAATTTGTCATGAAATGCTTCAGAATTGGAGATGTGTTGATGGTAATGACAGAAAAAAGTGCCGTGACTCAAAGCTCCAACACTGGTTTCTCTCACAGCACTGTTTTCCCACCACCTGCTACATCTTGGGCTCCTGCACCTTCACAGTCTGCCAGCGACAAACTGGAATTTCCTCCCCGGAGCAGGCAGAACTTTCGTGGCTCTAATTCAGTTTTTTCTCTTCTCCTTGTTCTGATGTTACACAAATCTGACCAGACTTCTCCTGAATACCTGCTCCGACTAAAACAAGAGCAGGATATGTGCTACCTACGCCATCATCTCCACTGATCCAGAACAGTGTGAGAGGAAGGCTCTAGGTTTAAATGCACATAAACTGTCAGAAACCCATCCTGAGCACCTCCACACCAAACCACAGATCTGAACTCTGAGAGTCTGCCCACAGAGAGAGTGAGAGAGAGAGAGAAGAATAGTAGAGATCACTGCCACACCGGTCCAAGGCAAACACTAGAAAATTACCAGTTCTATTTAAACACTGTCCTGTGAGCCTCGGCTTCATCTAACTCATGGAAAGTCACTGTGAATGTGAAAGTATCTGCCCCAGAGCCTGATGACAGTCATTCAACTGTCTACCAGGACTTCACTGTAAACTGAAAAAGTTACGAAATCAGCTCAGGTGAGAGTCGCTCTGCAAACAGCATGTCCTGAAAATAAAGATTTCTTTTTAAATGCCAAAAAAAAGACAATACAACCTTTCCCCAATTTAAGGGAAAAAGTAATGAAAAAAAATCAGGGGTTGCTGTCGTTTTAAGATTAAAGTTGGAATTGAAATCTAATTTATGATATCAATTTTTTTAAAATAATAGAATAAATAATATTTTCACATCGCTGTAGTTAAACATTTAAATATTTTTGCTTCGACCATTAACTGTGATCATCAATAACATCTGTGGCGCTGAGGTGAAAATGTCAATGTTATCAGATAGACTTTTCTGCAGCAGATAGACAGATTGTTCCTTTACCAAAGGGAAATGTTATGAGACGAGTCTTACAGCTGCCACTCACTTTCTCTGACAGGTGTTAAAGTAAACGCTGTGCTATCATTAGACAACGAACAGGTGCTGAAAACACTGAAGAAAATCACAAACCACAAATCTTTTTACTCACATGCAGTGGTTCCTATTTTTAGTCATCTAGGTATGGACTTTTGGACCTGATAGTTCAGGGTGTCTCATGTTCTCATTATTCACCAATTCTAATGTAGCTTTGTCAGGATCTATGGTCAGAGAGTGTAAAACTGACTGGATGTCACAGGGGTTTTGACTGAAAAGCCTACACAATTCTTCAGTGCATGTGTTTGGATGTCAGGAGGAGACTGCAGCACAGGGTAACTCAAAGTTCGAACTGGGCCATTCTTTTAGAAGCTGCAACGTGTCCACATTGTAACCAGAATGCTTTGTGAATCTGCCAGATTTCTCTTCTGTCTCCCTTCCTCCCTCCCTCCCTCCCTCCCTCCTTGCCTGCCTCTCTCTCTGCCTTCCATCCTCTGTCTCCCGTCTCTAACATCATGATGTGGCGTGCCTATTTTGGATAAGCAGAATCTTCAGCACAGAACAGAACAGAACAGCATGAATTCTTTTTTCCACACCATGAATTATTTTTAAGATAGCAATGGTGAAGAAAGAAGACACATTTAGGGAAATGTAAAAACATTCAAATAAAAAAACAGCAGATTTTAAAGACCGTTTTTGAGTGTTTATAGACGATACGATTCAGTGATGAGTTTTATACTGGCGTGGCTGGTTTACTGACGTGGGTTTGCATTTGCCTGGAGGTGCTTGAGACTTATGTGACAGAACTTTTGAATAAAAGTCCAAAATGTGTCACTGACACGAGAGACTTCTCTACTTCACTTAAAAACAGTATTTATTCATCAAACACTGACGTTAGAGTTGGATATCGCAATTTGTTCGTGCGTAAAATGCGCACAAATTTAATTGAAAGTACATACACAACATACCAAGATCAAATGAAGATCCTGTGAATGCATAAATAAAAGTCACCAAAACACAAACAGAACAATGGCTTTCCGACAGATTGCAAACTGCATCACCTTCTGTTAAAAACAAGACTTTGGCAACACAAAGGACTAAAGGCTCATGTTTTAGAACAAACACCGATGAATCCGAAGTCCCAACGCCTAAGAATAACCAAAAAACACAAGACCATCATCAAAAGTCACTTTTAAGAAATTCCACGGCGCACTGCAGGACGGTGAAACACGTCTTAACAGCCGAGAGCCGGTGCGTAAATGGCCCACCGTCCACGTTTGAGCTAAAAAGTGAAGTTGTCTGACGCGCTCAGAGACGCCCCCTCTCTGTGATGAAGGTGGGACTCTGCCACTTGAACATGTACAAGATGTGAGCTGCTCACAGGACCTCCCCAAAACGTCTGGCATATAAAAGCCAAGCTAAAGCCATTTGTTTAGGCAGTAGGGAGTTTCTGCTAGGGTCTGGATTGGAGTTACGTACAGACCGGACCCTACCGTGTATGAGTGGAGTCTGAGGAGAAAAAAGAGGATTCCCCCCTTTATCGCAAAGAATCTACATGTCTAATATTTAGACATGTTCAGCTTTGTGGATATTCGGCTAGCGCTCCTGCTCAGCGCGACCGTCATTTTGGCAAGAGGTCAAGGCGAGGATGACGGTAAGTATTTAACTTTAAACGTTTGTCTGACTTGTTTTTGGGACTAAGGCAGCACCGGGATGTGGATGCTGAGCTGTTTGATGGAACACCCATCCTCCTCTGAGGGACACGTGACTCCTGTGTGCAGCGTAAACGAATGATTGTCGTTACTTTTTAAATAGTGATTTAAAATGGAAAGTATGGACTGGATCTTCCTTGAGTGATTGATGCTTTGATTGGCGTGCACATACATGCTGAGCGCGCGCCTCCTGAAGCAGCTGCGCGCTCTCTGGTGCGCACTAACAGGACATTGGGTTCAGAGAGAGTTGAAGCAGATCACGAACACATATGAGCAACTTGCTGCATTATTGCAAGGGACATTTTGATCTCCTTTTCTTAGCACATCATCAAATTAGATCGGACAAAACCCGGCATCCCTCCTCCACATTCATCACAAAAGTGAGCCCAAATCCTGCAGATTACTGAGATTATCTCACACCAACCCCACCGTTAAACTCTGTTAGACCAGGTTTGCTCAGGGATATAAAGTACCACTTCATATGATGGGATGGAACCTTTTGAATTTGAGTTTTGAAGGATTCTGATTTCATCAAATGAACATTTTCCGGTTTCTAAATTAAACCTTTTTTTTCTCGGCTCAAAGGGAGACAATGGAAAAATCTCTAAAGCCTGACGTCGTTGGTAAAAAAAAAGTCTAGACACCAGTTAATCATTGCACTGAAAGAGAAGGGTGCGGAAAACTTGGTTTTGTTGGCGTATAGCGCCTCTCTGTGGTCAGATTTGGTACTGACGCCCCATGGCTTCCGCCTCAAAGGCCCCATCATTATGAGCAGCTTGAAATGTAATTAAAGCACCCGGGTTAACACAAGTGCTGAAAGTGACTGAACGTCTAACATCTGACATTTTAAGGAAGCAGTAGAATTTTATTCCAAGGTCATGTGTTAAATATACCTCCGATACAATATAGGCTTTAATCACTTTAATATATTTCCTCAGTGCATTTACGTTTGCTCTACAGTCTTTAAGTAAAAAAAAAAATTCTGATTAATTTACTTCAACATCGATAAACACAACAGGACCCCAGCCTAAAAACAACTGGAAGTAACGTGGCTATGTTTTGCAGCTTTTCCGTAATATTGCATTGGATATTTTCAAGCCAAGTTAGGAGTCTGGACTGCAGCTACTGAATGTATGGAAACGTATATGTGGAGATTTGACCACCTTGCATCCCACCTGTTGCCAAACTCACCAGCCTTTTTCTCCTCAGTCTCATTCGGCTCCTGCAAGTACGACGGACAGTTCTTCAATGACAAAGACGTATGGAAACCTGAGCCCTGTCAGATCTGCGTCTGTGACAGTGGAACCCCCTTGTGCGACGAGGTGATCTGCGAGGACACAACCGACTGCGCCGACCCCATCATCCCAGACGGAGAGTGCTGCCCTATCTGCCCCGAGGATGGTACAACGATTTTATCCGCTTCTGCGTCTTTGTGTGTGGTTATTTAGCATTGTGGCGCCACCTAGTGCCTTTATACCTCACCTACCCCTGACAATTTATGGCTTTCTGGACACGAGGCCTTCTTTAACCTATCTGAGGATGTTTTAGTAACGTTTGGATTTACTGTGCATTTCACTGTGAGTGCCACTGAGGGATTATATCTGGTCTCGGCAGTGAATGTTAATGTCGGCCTGTACAGGCTGCAACATGGGCCACGCTGTCACCACCAACCATCTTAACTCACAGTTTTATCTGCAAGAATAATAAAAAAAACATAATTTGCTTTGCTAAGTGCAGCACTTTAAGTATTTTGAATTTCCATAATATCTACTATGATTGTTTTGTGACAGTCCATTGTTATGTGGGTGTCACTGACAAACATTGTATTTTCTCCTTTGGTTCTGTAGGCACGGTCGAGGAGCCAACATATGAGGTATTATTGCTATTTTATTTAAAAATTCTATTAAATGTATAACATCTGTTTTTGTTTAAGTTAATGGACAGAAAATGTCACTTACCACGCAGTCTAATTTTCCTTTATCTGTTTTTCAATAGACAACCAAGGGACCCAACGGTGACAAGGGTGACAGGGTAGGTTTGGCATTTCTGGAACATTTGCCATGGACAATTCAGTTTATAATTCCTAAATAATTTTAATGTTTTTTTTTAATAATAATAAAAAAAACAACCATTATTTTGTAAAAGAAATATTGCCCAGACAAACAAAATCTTTGCAGATTTATATATATATATATATACTAATTGTAATTAAATTTTAAACTTGTACTTTACATTGGTGTATGTATTTTGCTGTAGAACTAATGCTAAAGCTACTCTGATGTAACTTCCGTTCTTGCCAACACTAATAAATTGGTCAAAGGGTCATTAGGTCACCGAAAGTTTAAAGATCACTAAAATCAAATTAGTGTTCAAACTAATTTACTGTGTTATAATAAAGACAGGAATTTGAAATTAACCAACTAAAAGCAAATATATATAAAATATATTATATTTTTATTATATGTATATATTTATATATATTTAATAGAATATATATATTTATCATTTTCTGTTTTTTATTTTATTTGACCAGATTTAGGCCATTAAAATATTGAATATCACTTGGTTTGTCTTCCAATTCCAGAAATCTAGATGAATGGTTTTTTTTTTAAAACGGAAATAATCACATATTTCTATTTTTGGTTGACAGGGTCCACCTGGTCCTCCTGGCAATGATGGAATCCCAGGAATGGCTGGTCCTGAGGGCCCACCC